CCCTTCATCAGAAAAGATGAAGGGTCTAGGCCCGAAACGTCAGCCTTTCTGCTCCTATGATACTGCTTGGCCTGCTGTGCTCATCCAGCCCTGCACCTTGTTGTCTCAGATTCTCCAGCATCTGCAGTTCCTACTATCTCTGGTCTTAAAGGATAGTTTGGCAGGGTTGGTGGGGAGGTGGGGTGAGGGGGGTGGCGGGGAGCGGGGAACCAAACTTGGTAGTGACCGACAACTGGAATAAATATTTTCAGGAGTTCCCAATGTTTAACTGAAGAAGGAGAATCCTCCACACCTAGCCCTGGTTGTGGAGACTGCAGTCTGATAAAGTTAGTGACAGTAGAGGGGTCAGGAGAGCTCCTAGAGAGGCAGAGCTGGGCATAGTCAATAAACATGTGAAACTAACCACGATACAGAAGGGAAACCAAAAGAACTGCAGATGCTTTAAGTCAGAAAAAAAAAAAAAACAGAAGAAGTTGCGAGAAAAGCTCAGCAGGTCCGGCATCTTCTGAAGAGAAGATCAGAGTTACCGTTTCAAGTCCAGTGATCCTTTCTCAGAACAGTTCCGAGGAAGGGTCACCAGACCCAAAACGTTGGTCCAACTCATCCATGCCAACCAGATATCCCAAATGAATCTAGTCCCATTTGCCAGCATTTGGCCCATATCCCTCCAAACCCTTCCTATTCATATACCCACCAAGATGCCTTCTAAGTGGTACGATTGTACCAGCCTCTACCACTTCCTCTGGCAGCTCACTCCATACACACACACACACACACACCACCTTCTGTGTGAAAAAGATGGCCCTCAGGTTCCTTTTACATGTCACCCCTGTCGGCTTCAACCTTTGCCCTCTAGTTTTGAGCTCCACTGCCCTGGGAAAAAGACTTTGACTATTCACCCTGTCCACGTCCCTCATGGGAGGTTACCTCCAACTCTCCAGGGAAAATAGCCCCAGCCTATTCAGCCTCTCCTTATAGCTCAAACCCTCCAACCCTGGCAACATCCTTGTAAATCTTTTCTGCAGGCTTTCAAGTTCAAGTTCAGCAACATTTTTCCTGTCGCGGTGAGAGAGGGATAACTGGTTTCCCTTCTGATATATCGTCAAGACGTTCTGCAGGAAAGGCTTCGATGATGCATCCACTCCTCCCACATTACAGTGTGTATTTTGTCACATAATCGCTCAGCAATTACTTAGCTCACTGTCAGTCAGAATGTTGGAGATGGAAAAACAACAAAACACACCAAATTTAATAACCGCCACCTTCATTAGTATTGCACCCTTAAAAGGTGGGCAAACATCAAGACACTGCACTGGAAGGTAAACCTACAAAATTTGACACTGAGCAATGAAAGAGCTATTGGGACAGAAGACTAAAAAAACCTGCGTCAAAGAGACAGGTTTTAAGGAGCATCACAATAGAGAGGGGAGCCTGTGAGATTAGGAGAGAAAATTCCAAAACTGAAGGGATCGTCAACTAATAATAGAGGATAAAAAAACAAAAAATCGGTACGTGTAGATATGCTGGAGCATTGTTGGGCTGGAAGAAATTTCAGAGCAGGGCCAAGGTGCTGAGAGATCAGAGGAACAGGACGGGAGCTTTTAAAATCAAGTTGCAATTTAACCAGAACGCAAATGCAAGTCAAGGAGAAGGGGGATGCTGAGTGAATAAGACTCGGCACAAGGAAGGGGTTTTGGAAGAATTCTAGATGACAGAGGGCAGCCTGCAGTAAATTGGAAGTGTCCAGTCAGGAGATGCAAAGGCATGAAAATGGATGTTTCAGTGCCAAATGGCTCGTGCAGTCTCTCGGGTCAGCAAGTTGTGCGTTCATGCACTGTCCCAGCACTGAAGCAGGATATCGGAAGGAAATGAGAGGAGAGAGCACGCAAAAGTGAAAAAGCTAGGGGAGAGGGAGAGGGAAAAGAGAAAACAGAGGAGAAAAAAAGAGAAAACAGAAGGAGAGGAGAGAGAGTGAAAAAAGGAGTGAGAGACAGAACAAGAGAGAGAGAATTTGAGAAAAAAGATAGAGGTGAGAGAGATTTAAAGAAAAGAGTAAAACAGAGGAGAGAAAAAAAGTAAGAGATGGGGGGTGGTGAAGGGAGAGAGCAAGCTGTGAAAGGGCTCATCAGTGCAAGCTGTTGTGGTTCTGCTGTATCACGTGTCCACAGCAAGAGCAAACAGCCCCACATGTCACTGCTGAAAGTTGTGAAATCCTGAGGTTGGTGAAGAGATCAGAATAGTAAACAGAAAACCGTGGGGGCTTATCTGAAGCTACAGAACAGTAAATGACTGAGGAAATCTTCACGCAGTACCACACCCAAGGTACATCAGAGCAATACAGACATGGTCCTGATGAAGGGAAGAAGAATTGGGCAGTAGATAGTTGGGAAGAAATCCAGGAGATAAAAAGGCAGCAAACGCCAACCAACAGCTAAATCAATGAATGCTAACCTTGTAAGCAACACCCACAATCCAAGACTGTATTTTACAAATCAACACGTCATGTGTTTAAATCACCAAGATCTCACCTTCACTAAGAAGCTGCCATCGTCCTCTCGGGTTACCATGACAACCGAATCATGTAATTTCTCTTCAAAGTGAACGTGATTGGCTGCTCCCTCCTCATGGCTCTCAGGCCCAAAGCGAACAGCCCCAGCTTTGGGCTTTGTACCTGAAGAAACAAAATGCACAGAAAAGTTTATTACGGTGCATTCAGCAAGGGGAAAAGGAAGGAAAATTAACCATTAACCTCACCCCCAACCCCCTTCTAGTGCCAAGCTGAGAGCAACACCACTGTGGGAGAGCACAATAGCTTGCCCCCTGCACAACCCCGTTCCAAGAAAGACTGAAAAACAAATCACATCACTATCTTAGGTTCTGCTGCATTGCAAAAAACTTTGGAAAAAAATTTAGTCCATTCCAAGCTAAATAGGATGAAACGAAGAGTAGTTCAGTGAGAGTTCACCAAATGTCCCCCAAGACAAGCACGAGCATTAGACAAATTGCACATAAAATATGAAACTGATTTCAGATCACACACAAACACCAGACACACACTTGATTTTTTGTGGAAGGGGGTACGAAGCGATAAAGTCATAGACATTCTACAGCACAGACAGAGACCCTTTGGCCCACTGTGTTCATGCTGGTCATCAAACATCATTCTACTCAAAGTGGGAGCAAATTTCTGCAAATGCCTGTTTAGCAGTTAGAGCTCCAGAGAATCTCAGTGCAGGGGAGGCAATGGCCTAGTGGTATTATCACTGGGCTGTTAATCCAGAGTCCCAGATAATGTTCTAGGGACCCAGGTGCAAATCCTGCCATGGCAGATGGTGGAATTTGAATTCAATAAAATACCTGGAATTAAGAGTCTAATGATGACCATGAATCCATTGTCAATTGTTGGGGAAAAACCCATCTGGTTCACTAATGCCCTTTAAAGGAAGGAAACTGCCATCCTTACTTGGTCTGGCCTACATGTGACTTCAGATCCACAGCAATGCAATTGCCTCTCAACTGCCCTCTGGGCAATAAATGCTGCCTGGCCAGCAACGCCCTCAACCCATGAATGAATAAAAACAAAAAAAAACAAAACGAGCAGCACCTCATCTTTAGATTAGGCACTTTACGGCCTTCTGGACTCAATATCAAGTTCAACACCTTCAGATTGTGAACCCATTACTTCCCCTTCTTTTAGCTTAACTTGTTACATTCTCTGTTACCAGGTCCTCTTCCCCCTCCCAATCACCACCAGCCCCCCCCCTCCCCACCCCACTCAGGTAGGACTGTCTGTTCTTTCCATTCCAGCAGGTAGGTACACCATTCTCACATTCCAATCACTTAATCTGCAATATCAACACCTTTTCTCCCCCACCATTCCACCCTCTCCTCCACTATCACATAAATGCTGCCCCCTCCAATCTTCACGTCAGCTCTGAAGAAGAGTCATCTAAATGCGAAACATTAGCTTGCTCTCGCTCCATGGATGGCTGCCTGACCCCAATGTGATTTCCAGCAGATTTTTTTTTTTTTTTTTTTTTAAATGTTATTTTCAGTTCATCTATTCTAATCCCATTTTCCAGCACGTAGTCCAAAGCCTTGTATGCAATGGCACGTTAAATGTTTGTCTAAATAATTATTAAATGTCTCGAGGGTTATGGCATCTGTCAGCCTTTCAAGCAGTGAGTTTTAGATACCAACAAGACCCCTGAGGAAAACATACTTTCCTCAAATTCCCTCAAGTTCCTGTTCCTTATCTCAAAGCTTTCCACCCTGGTCGTCGAATCCTCTAAGCAGAAAGGTTTCTCCCTAGCAACCTTGCCCAAGCCCCTTGATTTTTTAAACATCAATCAGATCCTCCCCTCTAAAGACAAACCCCAGCTGTCTAGTCTGTCTTCATTGCTGACTAATTCCATCCCAGGCAACATCCTGTTGAATCTTGCATTCCCGCTACAGCAAATGACATCCTTCCTTTAGTGTCGGGACCTGAATAACACACAGTACTCCAGCTGTGGATATATCTGTGGTTAGGCCATCTCGAACATAATCCTCTTGTATTCAATGCTTTGGCGAATAAAGGCAAGTATTCAATATGTCGTTTTAAACCACCTTATCTAAAATCGATCTTGCTGTCCTCACAGATGTATAGACATGCACACCCTCCGACCCCTTGTACCTCCTAGGATACTACCATTAATGCATTACTCCACAGCTGCTGAGTGGTGTGGAGAGAAAGCAGAGTTGACATTCTGAGTCCGTTGACCTTTCTTCCGAGTTTTCCCTGCAAGTTTCGTTTTTGGTTTCTGATTTCCAGGATCGGCAGTCCTTTTGGTTTTTGTTTCTATAGTGAGATGGTGTGTTTAGCGCTCAGAGAACTCTCATCTGTCCAGTCCAAATTTGTCAATGCTCACAACTGCTGGTATCAAACTTGGCGACCAAAAAGCTACTGACACAAGCCGATTGTCCATTATGCCAGAATCTCCAAGAGGGAAAGCTTTCTTATCCAAGGAGTGATTGGGGCTTGAAATGCACACCCTGGTAGGGTGGAAACAGATTTGACAACAGCCTTCAAAAAGGAGGTGAGATTAATACATGAAGGATGAAGGGAGGTGGAGAAACAGGAAAGTGACTGGAACTAACTCGATTGCTCTTCGAAAGAGCCATCAAGAACTTGATGGGCCAAATGGTCTCTTTCTATGCAATATGAATCCATAAAATTCTATCACTGCCAACACACAGGAAGGTGGATCTCAATCCCAATTGCCTTCACCAGTTTTCAAAGATGGATTCCAGATGGAGGCTGGACAAACCTGATCCAGGTAATGTTCTGGAGGCCTGAAGTTCAAATCCTGCCATGGCAAAGGGTGGAATTTGAATTCCAGAATTTATTTTCTATTGAATTAACATTATTATCATCATTAGATGCTGGATTGTTTGGGTGGGTGGGAGGTGACCCAACTGGTTCACTACTGCCCTTTTGGGAAAGGAATCTGCCATCCTTCCCTGGTCTGGCCTACATATCACTCCAGGCCCACAGCAATGTGGTTGGCTCTTAACCGAGGATTAGGGATGGGTAAGAAATGCTGTCTAGCCAGTGATGCCCTCTTCCCGTGAATGAATTAAAACAAAAAACTGTTATTACACACCTCTGGAGCAGGTGGAACTTGAACCTGGGCCTGCTATCAGGTGACAGTTCAGTCACCTGACTCCCAAAAGGTGGGCCTGCTTACCACTATCAAAGGGCACACCCATCCAAGCACAGAGTTCCACTCCAGTATTTAGCCCATATCCCTCTAAACCCTTCCTGTTCATATACCCATCCAGATGCCTTTTAAATGTTGTAATTGTACCAGCCTCCACCACTTCCTCTGACAGCTCATTCCATACACGCACCAACCTCTGCGTGAAAAATTGCCCCTTAGGTCTCTTTTACATCTTGCCCCTCTCACCTTAAACCTACGCGCTCTAGTTTTGAACTCTCCAACCCTGAGAAAAAACACCTTGGCTATTCACCCTATCTATGCCCCTCATGATCTTCCAACCCTCTATAAAAGGTCACCCCTCAGCCTCCAACGCTCCAGGGAAAGTAGCATCAACCTATTCAGCCTCTCCCTATAGCCTAAACGCGCAAAACCCGGCAATATCCTTGTAAATTGTCTCTGCACCCTTCAAATTTAACAACATCCTTCCTAAAGCAGGGAGACCAGAATTCAAAGTGGTATTCCAGAGGTGGCCTAACTAATATCCTGTACAGCTGCAACATGACCTGCCAACTCCTATACTCAGTGCATTTGTTGGTTTGTGACTCCATCCAAAACCACTCTACTTCTTGATCTTCCGATTACTGGATGGCACTAGGGATTACTGGATTACTAGGGCAGCACGGTGGCTCAGTGGTTAGCACTGCTGCCTCACAGCACCAGGGACCGGGGTTCAATTCCACCCTCGGGAAACTGTCTGTGTGGAGTTTGCACATTCTTCCTGTATCTACGCGGGTTTCCTCCCACAGTCCAAAGATGTGCAGGCTAGGTGGATTGGCCGTGCTAAATTACCTGTAGTGTTCAGGGATGTGTAGATTAGGTGGGTCATAGGAGGATGGGTCTGGGTGGGATGCTCGGAGGGGCAGTGTGGACTCGTTGGGCCAAAGGGCCTGTTTCCACACTGTAGGGATTCTATGATCTATGATCCACTAATCTTAACGTATTGATCTCATTCCTTAGTGACAGCACCACCCCACATCCTTTCCAGTCCCTCCTTAAATCCTGTTCCTGGCCTTGGTTACAGAAGCCTGCCAACCTGTAGCCAGGTTTCTGTAACACAAAGTCAATGGGCATGTGTAATCACTAACTGTGCTGCCAATTCCTCTATATTGTTCTAAACACCTTCAAATCCAGGTCCTTTAATTAGACAAAGAACTGAGGATGCTGGAAAAAGAAACAGAGTTAAATGTTAAGTCCAGAAAGTCAAAACATTAATTTTGTTTTCTCTCCACGGATGCTACCAGACCTGCCGAGTATTTATTTTACCCAAGAATTTCTGTTTGTTTGTTTTAGGGTCTTTAATACTGCCTTGCACTATTTTCCACATTGTTTCTGCTGCCTTCCAAGTTTGGTCAATTATTTCCTTCCTACTATTACCAGCTTGGCTTCTCTCGTACCTGAATTCCCACACAGGTTCCCGTCCCCCTACCAAGCTTGTCCCAAACACACAAGGAAATATCCCTGCACACTACGTACAGAGTTCCCAACCTTTTGGATGCTGTGACCCTAGCAGTTAATGTTCCGATGTAGAACTCGGGTTATTTCAGCTAGTGGCACTTCTTGCATGTGTGGTCACAGGAAGAATCCGAAATTTCACAAGTTATAGGATGAGCATTGCACGCGGAGAATTAGTTACCCTACAATCACTATATAATGTAAAAATGATGATCATTTCTCAGCTCTGGACAGTAAGATGCATGGTGGATCTTGAGCAGTTTAGTGTGTATTGTGCACAGTTTTGGGTCCCATATCTGACTCTGGAGTGGGTTCAGAGGAGGTTCACGAGAATGATTCCAGGAATGAAAAGCTTAACATACAAGGAATGTTTGAGGACTCCGGGACTACACTCCTTGGAGTTTAGAAGGATGACGTGGGGGGTGGAATTTAGTTGAAACTTACAGAATATTGAATGGCCTGGACAGAATGGATGTTGG